CCCCCTTGGCCTTGATGCACGTAACAGACACAGTTCCTCCAACACAACGCCTCTGCTGATTAGTTAGGAAATCTAACTTTTCAAAACCCCAGCACAGTGGGCATTAGATCTGTATGACCTAGCACCTCCTGACACAGTACCTACTACGTCATCTAGTACTTATGGTAGGCCCTAACATGTACAATGTGATGTAGTATCTATTGTCCTAGCACCTACTGCATAACCTAGCCTCTACTGACCTAGCAACTATGGACTTAGCTCTTATTGAATGATCTAGCACCTACTGTACGACCTAGCACCTCTTGACTTGGCACCTTCTGACCTACTACCTACTGACCTGGCACCTACAGCATGGCCTAGAACCTACTGACGTAGCACCTACTAGTATTTCTTCTTGTACGTGAGAGCTAATGATATGCCCCAAACTATGTTAACCATCCATGTTTCTGCTGTGGATCCCCATGTTGGTAAGAGACCTTTTGCAATGAGTTGCTAGAGAACAAACAGGAAAATATTGACCAAAGTGAAAGTTGGGCTTGCCTTGGGGTCTCAGCGTTGCACCTATCACTGTGTCTCAGGAGCCTGGTCACCAAGTATCTGAGCTGGGTTACAGCACGGACGCTGCTCCTCAGCCCTGCGAGGTGACACGTCCACTGTACCACGCCTCAAATCCAGGAAGCACACGTTTCCTGCTTACACACTGTTTTCTGTGTTGATTTTAGATATGACACATGGGGTGAATGTTTTCACCAACATGGATTGAGCTAATTGGTATTCTCAAGGTCTTCAGCCAATCACTGAGGAAACACTGGCGCTTCATACACACATTCGAGAGTCGGCGAAGTACAGAACGGAATGAATGGGCTGTCTGGAGGTGTTTTAATCAACTCTTGAAGAAAATCTATGTGAGAGGGACTCCAAGGATTCTGCTTAGCTGTCCTGGGTTTCTTTTGCTTTCTGCAGTGCTGGGGATGAAACCTCAGTGCGGCCTCTACCCCTGAGCTGCATCCCAGCTCCTGGCTTTGTTTGATAAAAATTCTTTCAGTGTTCATACAAAACGGAGTATGAAAGTGTGCCATCAAAGTTACAGACCTTCTTCACTGCCCTTCGAACTATGTCTGCCACAGTGACCATGTTAAAGGGCGGGCAGCTCCCAGCTCATGTAAATAGCAAAAAGTCAGGTTTCATGAAAACAAACAATCTCACAATGGGAAGAGTCAGCTCCCCGAAAGTCTCTACCGAGCTGGCTGCAGCAGGGTGGGCTCCCACCTGTCATGGTGACCCAGAAGCTGATGAAGTGGCAGGATCTGAGCAGGTCTGAGAAACAAATGCAGGTCTTGCTCTCGGCATCCATGGCCTGTCCCTTGGTGTGGTAAGAGTGCTGCAGGGACAGTCCACTTGCATTGCAATGCAGGGCAGGTGGACTGGGATGCAAGCCCCCAGATAGCAATACTATGCACTCCAGTATCAGCATAGAGAAAAACAATTGCCAAACCAAACACTGAGTTTTGATTTAAAAAAATGAACTGCTCAAAAAAGTAGTGAGAATGGGAAACTTCTAATGCTGAGAAAGATCACCTCCCCAAACCACAGTCTCAAGCTCAAAGGCCAGGACAGTGAGTGCTCCCTCCAGGGCCAGAGTGAGGAGGCAGGAGTGGCTGGCTTCCACCTGTCCTGCTGCACATTGCTCGGGGTTCTGCCAGTGCTGTGAGCCAAGCAAAAAAAATGAAACAAAACCCCAAGTAGTCCTCCTCAGACAGCCCTGGAATGTCTTGGGGCTGTGAGAGATCGCTCTTAAAATACTGTCCATTATTTCTGAAACCTTTCTGGCTCCTCTGGGCCAGCTGTTTTATTTTTAGGATTTTGGGGGTTTCTTCAAATCCTTGTTCAGCCTCTTTATGCTTCTGAGAGACACAGGGTGAGGGTCACACTGCAGTGAGGCTGAAGCCCTCAGGTATTTACCGAGGAGACCCTTGAAGGTTTTGGAACTCTAGTGACTGATGGGGGTTCTCAGGTGGGGAAAGGGGCTGCTGTGTGTTGGACACTGGGAGACTTGGGTATATCGCTGACACAGGTGGCCCCTGTGATGAGGGTTTCCTTAAGTAGGAAGAGCAGCACCATTGTTAGGGACCGAGCCTAGTGAGCAGGTCTATCTGAGCATGGCGGGATGCCACACGAGGCTGTGTGACCATGGAAACACTCCAAGTCATTCTCTCCACGTGTGGGACAAGGACAGTAGTCACTGTCCCTGGGGTTGTGAGGATTAGGCGGCAGAAGGCACACCGGGACCTCCTCATCTCATATGAAGTCACAACCGACTCTGCTCTTGTCTATCAGCACATCTGTCCCCAGGCAGAACAGGAGGGACCCCAAGGGCCCGCTGAGTCATGGGGACCTTCCTGGACTCTGGAAAACAGCAGCTGAAGGAATCCACCACAAGCCAAAGGAGGTGCCACTTGCACTGTATAGTGTGGTTGGGCGAGAAAGCTTTTGGTGTCTAGAGGTCTCCTGTGTGGCGCCAGGCACGAGCCAGTGTGTGTAGAAAGACAAGAAGCCTGTTGTGGCCCAGCCACCTGGACACAGAGTGACAGGGAGCTGACGACGGGGTGAGGGGGCGCTGGCAGAGAGTGAAGAGGAGCCCAAGGCAGCCAGGCCACTCAGCTCTTAGCCACATCTTCACCAGATGGGTTTGGAAAACTGAACTCGAGATATTAACCATATGGCTCTTCTGTTGACCAAACGAAGCTACAGAAATTCCAAAGACCTTACAGTCCCATTTTCCCCTCTCCCTGGAGTAGCGCTCCTTTTGGAGAGAGCTTCAGAGCAAAGTCTCTGCACCTCTCCTGTTCTAGCACAGCTGCGATGGCTGCTGTCACTCGGTTGGTGAGCAGCTGCAGGCCTCCTTTCTCCGATGTGGCTCTGGCACCAGGTCGGGGCCATTTCCCCTGCAGGCCGCCATGTCCCTGTCCTGTGCATCCCCGTCTGCGTGTTCAGCTAGCCGTGGTTGGAAAGCATGAGCGAGAACATGGCATCTGCACAGCACGTTGTCCTCATTATGTCCTAAGCAGCGCGACTGTTTACGCAGAACTCACATTCTCTCAGGTTTCACAACTCATGTAGGGACAGTCCAAAGTGTCAGGAGGAAGTGGGCAGGCTGCAGGAAATACTGCGCCTTCCAGTGTCAGTGCTGCCGGTCCTGAGTCGGCCCTGGTGAGTGCCCAGGGCAGGGAGGGTTGTCAATGGCCCTGCCAGCCCTGCTCATAGGGACTCAGGCTTGGAGCTTGGAGTGTGGTTGCTTAGGACAAGAGACAGTAATACGTGTGACCCAGCAAGACATGGAGACCCATGGAGAGTGGGCCTCACTCTTGCTGCTCTGAGGACCCTGCCCTGGCCCATTGGTACAGCTCCTAGATGAGCAGGGGACACATCTGGTTACTGTCACTGCCATTGGGTCCAGCACAGGTTGTTGACCTGAGTCCTCTGGTTCTTTGAGTGGCCTGCTGTGCAATATCTGTCCTTTTATCACTCTGCAGGACAGGAAATGGTGCCGGTCAGTTTCTGTTCATAGGGTGACATTTCTCTGAGTCACTAGTGCTTTTCTTTATGAGCTGAGAAGTTACATAAGAAGTAGCACAGCTACCTGTGAGCATGTTTCTGAGAAAGTACTTCTCTTTCATTTCATACAATTCTTAGAAGATCTCATTCACCGCTGTAGGACACCTAAGTCCTCTGCCAGCATCCTAAGCTCCCTGCAGGGTGGGGCAGTGCAGTGCCTTCAGATTTCCTCCCTTTGTGGTCTCTGGGGATGTTGTCTGGGTAGCAGGCCTCCTCCTTTGCCTGGTCCCGCTGCTCTCTGGCTAGGTAGCAAAGGGCTCTGCTGTCACCCTCGGGCTGTGGGGGACTGGTCTCTGCTGCAGCCCTGGACCAGAGCCAGAGCCCTCCCAGGCTCCCTAGGCCCTGGCTTGAGCTGTGTCCCTTCTCTGCTGACTCATAGTGCTGGTCCCTAGGTGCCCAGGGCTATATGAAGTTGCCTCTGTGGCGCAGTTGTCTCACTGCACCCCACCCACCTGGCTGGAGGCCCCTCGGCTGTGCAGTCTTCCTGTGGCCTCCAGGTCCCATCATCCCTCACTCCCTGATGGTGGCTTTGGCTTCCTGCCCGGCCTGGCCCTCCTGTGTGAGATCCGCCCAGCCTTGCCTTGTGCTTCCTCCATCCTACTTGGGTCCCACAGAGCCCTGGGCCAGCCACCCTAGCAGATGCCTGGGTAGCTTAGGAAAATCTCTTCCAGAAGAACACTCTCGCCCATGTCACTGCTCTAGTCACCTCAGTTCTTTGTGTCCTTGAAGCTCCAGCCACTGACCTTGGCTGGTAGGAACAGCACGGCTCTCTCCTTTCTCTCGGGCAGAGCACAGGAGGACATGTCCCTTCCATCCTGCCTCTGGAAGGCCAGTGTTTCCCACTTGGCCTCAGAGTCCTCTTTCTGTCCCTGCAATGTCCCCACTCAGACCTCTCCCTCTGCCTCCAAGATACCCCTGTTCACCTGAGCCAAAAGCAAACGCCCTCCTCTGCAGCCACATGTATCTCAGACCACCTGAGGGCCGAGGCTTGCTTCTCATAGACTGACAGAAGCACAGACCCCTCCCTGCTGCAGGGCCCAGGAGAACCCCAGCCGCCCTCCAGCAGCAGTGGGGTGTCTTGTGTTGGGGGTTGCCTCCTATGATTCCTCGCAGCATCTCTGCAGAGGCGCATATTGTGTGACTGGAGCCCAAACCTGTGCATTTCTGTGTCCCTCACCGCCTGGTCCATGGAGAGATTGCTCCTCTAGTTGTTCAGCCTGACTTTCCTCACCACGGGTGTGCTTTTGTCCTGTAGGCATTAGCTGTATGAGTACTCTCTGCTCTCACTATAGTAACTCAGGAATGCTAAGTTAGGAGACCCGGTGAGATAAAACCACGCGCCCACAGCCCCCCACGCCCACCGCCCAGCCAGTGCGCCGGCTGACCTCTAGCTCCTGTAGCTCCTCCTCCTCCTCCACGTCGTAGGACAGCGTGTGGATCTTGATGTCCTCAGCTGAGAGGTCCAGGAACTTCCCGTCGGCATACTCCAGGCTGTCTTTGGTGGGTGACCGGTCCTCGATGAAGGTGGTCTCGCAGCAGTCGGTGGCCACGCCGTCGCCCCACGAGCGTAGCATGCCCTCAGAGTAGAGGATGAGGTTGGGTCGGTAACGAGTCTCCACCGACCGCTGCAGGGCGTTGGGGTCCAGCAGCTGCTGCGCAGCCTCCTTCCCGACGCTGTCCATGCTCTGGCGGCTCTGGTACTGGGGCGTTGGGTACACGGACACCAGGCCATCCCTGCCCTCCGCTGTGAAGCTTCTGGTGTTGATCAGGCCATTCCTCGGGCCGGTGTCCAGGGCCTTGTTGTGCACCAGCTCACTTTTTGGCCCGGCGAGGCTGTCCATGGTGCTGGCCTCCCCGCCGGGCGTCCGGCTGTGCAGGTCACACTATCCTCGAGGAACCCATGTCTCCTGGGGAGCAGGAAGCAGAGAGCAGTTGAGAACCATGCTCAGAACCGAGCTCAGCACCCAGCCTATCCTGTGTCCAGTAGACTTGTGTCCCGGGCAGGCATGCAGGCCGTAGGAGTTGGAAACCCACAGCCTTGCTGGCTCCTGGGATTTTCAAACAGCTCCATCAGGGCATCAGCCAGACTCTGATGGCCCATATCTCTGCAAAGCCTCCTTCCACATGAAGGAGATACCCAAGTGATCACAGACACCCTGAAACCCAGGGCCAAGCTGGTGCCCACCCTCCGGAAGAGCTCAATCCCCTGGTCTGCAATGGGCCTGGCTGTTCCAGGGTCTGTGTGCTTGTTCATTCAACATGGCAGGAAGTAGGGATTCAACATAATGTTCTGCACAGACTTAGGAGTGACAAGAGACTCACACCTTAGTGCAGGATGTGGATGAGACCCCCACCCACCCCACCCTCACCTTGGGGAGACACAGGCGGGTATGGACTGAGAGGTTCGGTATGCCCATCAGAGTGAGCCCAGTGCCCACTGCACAGCCAGGCGCTGCACCAGAACATTCTCTGCCTGACATTCTTAACTTAGGGAGAAGAATCCCAGAGCTTAAGATTGCAGGAGTGGTGAGGAAAGGCCTTCCTCAGGCTTGCTCTGTGTGCACGTTAATAACTATTATGTATGAAAATATTTCCTCTCCAGCAATTTTGGAGCTGTGGCTTTCTACAAGATGTAAGCATTTTATTAATGATAACTGCTTAGGTGGTGGGAGAAACAGTAAGGTTGCCGGAAGACTAAAGGAAAGAGGTGGAGAAGGGAGCCTGGAGACCCATGGAAAGACACTCTGAGGGCATTCTCAGGAACCTAGTTCAGACTGCAGGCATGCACTGCGCCAGGGAGTGTGAGTGGGGATTACTGTGACACTGATTTAGAGAGGTCAGAAGCACAGCGTCTTCTCTGCGGTCTTGGCTTTGAAGTGTGGGCTCTGGAGGCTGATGTGAACTGCACAAAGCTCTCGTGGGCGTCTGCACACACCATGCATGATGTGCTAGTGCTCTGTCTTGGTGCAGAGCCTCCTTCTGCACCATGTGGTCCTCCTGCAGAGAAGCCACGGCTGGGCCCTCTGGGTGGATGCCTCCCAGTGCGTGTGTGACCTGGGTGCGCTGCGTGTGAGCAGGCTGTGCTGTGAGTCTGACATGAGCTTGAGCTGGCCCTGCACCTCGCCCCGAGCTCCTGCTACCACCGCAGCTGCAGGTCTCTCGCAGAGCAGTATAACTGGATTGTTTAAATCCCACTTCCTGCACCAAGCTCTTGCCCAGTCGGATAGAACCATCTGCTGGTCGCTCCCCTCCCCCCATCTCTAGCTTCCTCTCACAGTGCCTGTAGCACCGTCTTGGCCAGTGTGACAGGTCTGAAGGCCAGCAGTCTCCTGCTGCTTCTACCGGAGCACCTTGAGACCACACATTCTGCATCCCTGTTTCCCTCTTCTTCACCGAGCAGGAAGGAGACAGCGGTGAGCCTGTGTTGAAGTAGAAAGGGTCCAGTGTTGCTGACGAGAGGCCCCCTGCTTAGCTGTGACTGTCCTAAGTGGTTCGTGTCCCTGAAGTTGAATCCAGCACAAGGACTTTGGGACCGGCACATCTCAGTCTCCTCTATGTTCTCTGCAGTTTGGCTCACAGAGCTGCAGCGATGGAGCCACTCAGCATCTCCTGGATTGGTTGATGGGATTCAGCTCTGTGGTAGAGCAGATGCCTGAGGTGAGAACCCAGGCTTGACCTCCACATGGGGTAAGATACACAATCCTGAGGAACCACAACTCCAGGACTGGAATCTGCATCAGGATGGCAGGGGATCTGGGGATCGAACTCAGGGCCTTTGCATTGAGCTACACCCCCATCCCCTTTCTACCTTTTATTTTGAGGCAGCATCTCCCCAAGTTGTTAAATTGCCCAGGCTGGGCTTGAACTTGTGACCTTCTGGCTGAGAATCTGCATTTTCACAGGATCACCGTAGCTTAGTCTGCCTTAACATTTTGAGCAGCACTTTCCTGCAGTAGATAGAGCAGATGTTGGCCCCCTGTGCCAGCTGCTTGGTTCTATGGCTGGTTACTTCTTGCCAGTTGAATATTCTGATAGATGGAGCTTCAGCATCCTGAACCCAAAGTGCTCTGAAGCCTGAAGTATCCTGAGCCATGACTTGGTACTCACAGCAGCCTGGTGTTCTCCACGGTCGAGACTCAGGCATGCCAGGAATGTGGCAGAGTGCACCAGGTGCGTGGGGACTGTGGACAGACTGTGGTCATGCTCGGGGTCGGCCCCTGGGATGCCTCACTGCATACACATTAATATTCCAACCCCTCTCCCCATTAGAAATCTGACAAACTTCTGGTCTCAAGCATTTTGCATGAGGAATACTCACCCTATAAATCAACTAGTCCATATATGAAAAGAAATTTTGTGTTTATTTTTATCAGTGCATCTTAGTTACTCAAGAAGAGGACTTGATTTTAGTACATTAATATGTGCATAAACATGTTTTGGCTATTCTGAGATAACGTATTTTTCTCATTGAAGGAAATTTTTCCAGCTTCGGGTATCATACATCAAGTCTGAGTGGCCAGGGTCACAGTCTGCCACTGTAGCAGCCTTAGTGTCTCCTGGCCGGTCATTGAGGTTGTCTCTGATTGTAGTTCTCCCTGCAACCCTTCCATGGATCCACCCACTCCTACTTCTTGGAGCTTTTCCCTGGACTGAATCTGTCCCCTCAGATTTACCCATGGGAGCAGCCACAGACATAGCATCCAGGATGAACCACGGTTTCACCCCCAAGTCTCCCCAGAAACCCCAAACTGCTCTTCACTGCCCTCACTAGTAGAAGCTTTGGTTTGTCTTACAATTTTTCCTCACGCCCTGCTCAGCCCTTAATGTCTTCTTGAGCTCTCTGCTGCCTCCAGAGCTGCTTCTCTATGTGGCTTTCTGGGCTTTTTGGACAGTGGGACCCACAGCCTCCTCCTAGTGAGCCTTGAGTCTGGTCCTTGGGTCTGGTTCAGGCGGTGGCTGCAGGGCATCACCAGCTATTTGTGGGTGCCTTGCTGGAGGGGGAGGTGGTGTGGAGACCCCAGGCCCTGCACCTCAATCCTACAGCTTCTCCTCCCCTGGCTTCTGTCTCTTTTCCGGTCCTGGTGTGAGGACGTGCTCCTTTCTCTCAAGGCTACTGTGGTGTCAAGAGCCCACACCAAGAGCTAAGAGCCCTGGGTCAAGCCCAGTTTTCCTAGGGAGCATCTTAGGGTTGTGGCAGGGTGTTGTGAGAATTAAACCGTAGAACAGGAAGCACTTGGAGGTTCCAGCAGCTTGCTTGCTTGATTGATTGATTGATTGTATTTAAGACAGGATCTATAGAGTCTACAGGGTCTCACTGTGTAGATCAGACTCGTAGTGATCCTCCTGTTTACAGCCTCCCAAGAGCTGGGATTACAGGAGCGCTACCACACCCAGTCTCAATCACTGCCTCAGTGTGCCCAGGGGGCAGGGCCAGCTTGGCAAGTTCCATGTTTATTGCTGTTTGGACCCAGAATCAAGGGATCCTGTGGAACCAGTGTTTTTCTCAACCTGGCTTCTTTGTGAAACTCTACCAGGCACTCGAGAACTAATGCTGGCCTTCTCAAACTTGATAAGAAAAACTGAGGGGAGGGACCCTTCCTGACTTACCTTGTGAAGCTAGGATTTCTTTGACACCAAAGCTGGACAAGAACACTACAGGGAAAGAAAACCACAGGCCAATAGTCCTTACACTCCTTGTGCAAGGTCCTCTGCACAGATCTGGCGAACAGTGTAGCAGCAGATGGAAGGGCTGCACACCAAGACCGAGCGGCTTTATGCCCAGGATACAAGGGTGAGTCAGCAGACAGAAACCAATCATGAATTTGCCAATTAGAACAAGTGATGCAGAAAAGCTCTGGACAAAATTCAGCACCTGGGACCGAGGACTCAGTGGTGAGTGCTAGTTTGGTACATTCTCGGTCCATGATGGAGAATCTTGGAAAAACTGTCTTGTAAAACCAGGACCCAGATCCCTTTCTCTGCTGCTCCTACCTAGCTCTGCCCAGGGTGGCCCCTATGGAGGAGTTAGGCAAGAAAAATAAATCACAAACAATCTAGAAAGGAAGAGGTAAATTCATCTCTGTTCACAGATATATATATATATATATATATATATATATATATATATATTTTTTTTTTTTTTTTTTTAATGTGGTACTGGGGATTGAACTCAGGACTCTGCACTTGCCAGGCAGGCACTTCTTCTACTGAGCTATCTTCCTGGCCCCACAGATAAAATATTGAAAACCTTAAGAATTCATATACAAAACCCATGAGAACAAGGGAATTTAGTAAAGTAGGACATAAAGTTAATAAGCAGAATCACTTTCATTTCTATACACCAGTGAACAATCTGAAAAAAATATTACAAAAACAACTTCATTTACAATAGTATCAACAAGAATATAATACTTCGGGAATAATTAACCAGGGAGGTGAAAGATTTGTACAGTGAAAGCAACAGCACATTGCTGAAAGAAATTAAAGGTAAAAATAAACGGAAAAAGATCCAATGTTCATGTTTGGGAGCCTCAATATTGTTGAGACAACACTATTGCCCAAAGCACTCTACAGAATTGGAATCCCAACCACAATTCCAGCCACGTCTTTTGCAGAAATAGGACTCAGGTTGGCTCTCACTGGGAATATCAACCTTGAAGAAGGAGAACAAAGTGGAAAGACTTATGCCTCATGATTTCAAACTTAGGTAAAACTACATTAATCAAACTAGGGTGGGGTGGTACAGAGACAGACAGGTGTGACTGTGCGTCAGAGAGTCCCAGGGGAGGACACCTGTGCACACGGCCAGCAACTTTGGACAAGGCTGCCAAAGCCAGTTGGAGGAGAAAGGGCAGCCTTTCCCCAAACTTCTGGGAGACTCTATGATTAAAGAAGAGTGAAGTTGGAC